TTTGAAAATTTAAGTGACTTTCTTAAGGTCTTGGCATAGTGGGTAGGGCATTGGACTTGAAGTTGAAAAGAACTCTAAGAAGGTTTAAATCTGAAACGTGTACTAGCTGTGACGGTAGCTGTGACTACTCTGGGTCTCAGTTTCCTCATCTGTAAAATGAAGGGGTTAGACTCAGTTGCCTGGAGGGTCCCTTCCAGCTCTAATGGTCCAATGACAGTCAATCAGCAAGCATTTACTTCTTAAACTCATACTATGTGTCATGTCCGACACTAGGTACTAAGATTCATCAAAAATGAAACAGTTCCTGCCCTAAAGGAGCTTACTCTTTCAGAGGAAATAATATGTGCATAAACAAATAGATCCCACATATGTACAAAGTAAAGATGAGGAAGGGTCTCGAAGAGCTGGACACGACTGAAATAACTGAACAGCAAAAAGATGAGGAAAATTGCTGGGGAGGTGAGGCACCAGCAGTTGTGTAAGTCAGGAAACAAACACCTTGCATAGCAAAGACACAACCAGTAAGAGCCAGCACTCTGTCCCCTCTGCCAGGGACACTACCTCAACATGAATAACCATCTGTGTATTCGGTGGGGTTCGATTAAAGGATGAAAAGTGTTATTTTATTGCAGAAAAAGGAGAAAGTTCAGGTTGCATAGGATCAGAGGACTCAGGTTCAAATCCTATATCTGACACTACCTATGTAACCTTGGACAAGTCACTGAACCTCTTGGGCCTCAGTTTCCTAATCTGTAAAACAAAGAGTTAGTCTATCTATCTATCTATCTATCTATCTATCTATCTATCTATCTATCTATCTATCTATATGTATAGGAAAGCTAGGTGGCACAATGGATAAAAGGCTGGACCTAGGGGACAGGAAGGCCTGAGTTCAAATCTGACCTCAGACAGTTACTCTCTGGGTGACCCTGGACAAGTCATTTAACTTCAGTTTGCTCATCTATAAAATGGGTTTATAATAGGACCTACCAAACATCTGTATAATAGCTCTGGGGTTTACTGCTTGGGTTCTCTTGTGTTTTTTGTTTTTGGTTAGGCAATTTGGGTTAAGTGACTTGCACAGGGTCACACAGCTAGTAAGCATCAAGTGTTTGGTCTGAGGCTGGATTTGAACTCAGGTCCTCCTGACTTCAGGGCCAGTGCTCTATCCACTGTGCCACCCAGCTGCCCCTCAGGTCTCATACACGCTTCTTAACCTCTTTGTGCCTCAGTTTCTCCATTTGTAAAATGAAAGGGTTGAATTAGATGGACTCTGAGGTCTCTTCCACTTTTAGAACTATGATCCCATGAATGAGCCTTCTTAACCTGAACAGTAGGGAATCTCTTTGACACACCATGCACAACTTTCACTTGGCCAGAAACACTGGAAGGGTCCTCTGCCCATCTGGTGAAGGGGTCTGCCAGTGAGCAGGACAGCAGGTTAGCCATTGCCTGAGATGCTCATGTACTTCTTACTGGGGGCAAATGTACATCAGAGCGTACAGGGCTAGCTCAACTGTGGGGCTTTTTTGAGGTCTCTGCCACCCCCTGCTGGTAGACTCAGAAAGGGTCCAGCACAGACAGTACTGTCCAATCGCCAAGACACCTGCTCTTGCCCACAACCCTTTTGTCTTGAGGGAAAACCTCTTCCTGGAGAAAAAGGAGCTGAGCCCAAAGCAAGAGTATATCCAGAGCTGAGCCAGATCTCTGCAACATTCAATACAAGAGATTATAGCAGAAAGAGATTAAGAGCAGAAAGCCAGGAGCAAATGTTTCAGGGCAGGGAGGTCTGTGTGTAGACTGCTACCAGAGATGTCAGTAAAATGATTGCTTGTAAATAGCAGACAGTGAGTCTCCTCCACCCTTGACTTAGTCTGATGGATGGGTCTGTGAAGCTGCGTGATTAGAAATCAGTTGCAGATTCTAGAGGATATCTCTATCTCAATATTATGTCTCCTCCAAAACCTGCTCTTTCTTCTAACTTCATCCTCATTCATCCAGGCTCTTACGTTTGTAACTTTGGCTACCTTGGGGTTATCTTGAGAGGCAGTATGGTACAACACTAAGAATGACGTCTTTAAAGTTCAACCCCTCAACCATGCTGTGAGGGGGCGCCAATGGCAAAGTAGGGGAATGTTAACAAGGAAACTGTACATTATGTTAGCTGTGAAGGCCTGGTAGGAACCCTGGACCACTGGTGAATTGGATCCTAGAGATATCAGTGATTGGGTTAGCCCCCTTGTCAGTGTGATATAACTGCTCCTAAGAGCCACGGAAATAGATTCTGCCCTACTTGAAACCATGGTGATGGCCAATCAGCTTGACCTGAAGGGAAGCGGAGACAGTGATGCTCCTTTGATTTCTGGCATCTCAAGAAGGCAAGATAAACTGAACCCAGCATAAATACGGATATCTCACCGATTAGAAATGCTTCAATGCAGATGATTCTGGACACTAAAATGAGCTAAACATGAATTTGCTTGAAATGGGCTGAAGATGTGAGTGCTTTCATCATATGCCAATATCCTATCATAACAAAATTGGAAATAGATCATACCAGTTAGAGGCAAGGGCTTCATACCACCATTTGTCAATGGTACCCTCAGCTCTAAGTCATGCAACAGTGTACTGCCAACCAGTACAGGGCAACCACAAGAAATAATTTTATCCCTAAGCCTCAGTTAGATAAAATGAGATGGAATTAAGGTGTTGCCAAAATCTGAAGAGGAAAGAGCTGAATCTGTGGTCATTGAAAAAACCTTCATTTAACGCAAACTCCAGAAATTCTACTTCAAAATGAAATAAATAACAAAAACCAATATCTCCAATGATTTTGAAAAGGAGATGGGCCTATTTAGCTTGGAATTTCAAAAAAGCCCTCTTTGAGTTCTGTGCTTTCAATTTAACAGCAGATCAATTATGTAAAATGAGAGTAATTCAATAAAGCTAGCATTGGCTATAAATATCATAAACAGAACCATTCTACCATAATTTCTGACAGATTAAAGTCCTAAGCTGAGGTGTTGACACTGTTGATATCAACAGAAACATTGGAGTCAATAGCGATTGATTTTCAGATCATGAATTTGGTTTTAGTGATGTTGAGTTTCAAGCACTACTGGGATTCCCTGGTAGAAGTGTGCAGCTGGCAGTGAGAGCTAACAGGACTGAATTTCAGGAGAGAAAAAAGACTGTATGTGTGAGCATGGGAATTGCTCCCCTGCTTTCATGCAGGTGTTTGACTAAGCCACCTGGAAAAAGATAAGCATTTAATTTCCATGGAATGAGATTCTATCATAGAGGGGTCCTTAAAAGAGAATCTCCTCTATAATTTTTCTGGTAAGTAATCATCTACCTTCTGCCTGAACATCTCTCCAGAGACTCTCTTCCTCCCAAGAGTCCATGCCATTTTCAGTCAACTCTATTGCTAATTCATCATTTATTAATCACTTATGTGGTTGGAATTATGATGGCAGAGTAGTAGCAAGAAATATGCCTGAACTCTTATCCTACAGCTCCTCCAAAAAGACCCAGATAATGCACTAGCTTGGGTCCTGATTGAGAAATCCAAGAAAAAAACCAGTGAGTCATTTCTCCAGCCCAGAGGTCCATGGACACTGGGGACAAGGTCTACAGGAATGATCCCCTAGAGCATTCCAATACAAGGAGAGGCTATGCACCAGGGAGAGAAGAGGTTCCAAAAACATTAAGGAGAGAGAATTTAAGAATCATTGGATTACCTGAAAGCCATGAAATCTTCAAAGAAAACTGCCCAGATCTCTTAGAACCAAAGGGCAAAGTGGAATTTTTTTTAAAATCTACCACTTGTCTCCTGAAAGAAACTTCAAAATGCAAACTTCCAGGAAACAAAATCAAGAGCTTACAGGTCAAAGAAAAAATGCTGCAGTTAGAAAGAATTCAAGTACTGAGGAGAACTCATAGGGCAGGGGATGGGAGAGGAAGGATGAGGAAAATTATATCAAAGTCAGGGTGTACAAGTAGAAATCTATGTAAATAAGGAGGAAGGTGAAGGAGGAAATAATGGACACTCGGAACTCTCATCGGAAATGGGCAAAAGAGAAAAACACATATGGTCGATTTCTTGTTTTTCAATCATTCCAGTCATGTTCTTGTCAAAGATACTGGAATGATTTGTCATCTCCTTTTCTAGCTCACTTTACGGACGAGGAACTGAGGCAAACAGTTGCCCAGGGTCACACAGCTAGTAGGTGTCAGAGGCCAGATTTGAATTCAGGTCCTCTTGACTCCAGACTCAGCACTCTATCCACTGTGCCACCTGGCTGGTCATAGCAAGGTTGAATACAGAAATACAGATTGCTCAGCAGAGAAACAGGAATGAAAGGGGAAAAGGAAGAAGGGGAATAAGAGAGAGGGCAGATGAAGGGAGTGATTAGTCCTCAGCAAAACAAACTCTACAGATGTACAAAAATATTGATGAGTTTTTTGGGGTGGCAAAGAATTAAGAAGAAATAAAAGGAGAGAAATAAAGGGAACCACACACCAAATGGGGAACAGTTATATCATATAAATGTGTTGGAAAACTATTGTGTTGTAAGAAATAACAAAGGGGAAAGTTTTATGGAAATCCAGGAAGATTTGTATGAACTGATGAAGAGTGAAATGTCAGAACCAGGAGACCAGCTTACACAGCGATAACAATATCGTAAAGACAAACAACTCATGATGAAACTCACCTTCTGACAGAGGTGATGGACTCAGAGTGTAGACTGAGACATTGTTTTTGGATATGGCCAATATGGAAATGTCGCAAATTCTGGGAATATAAAGATAAAAATGAAACAGTCCCTGCGCTTAAGGGACCTTCCCTACCTTATCTAAAACCTAATGCGCTACATACAATAAATGTCTGTTGAACTGAACTAAACATTTCTGTGGATAGCACCATAGAAAGTGGGTATTGACTGCAGCCACCAATATGAATTTTTTCAGTATACAAATTTAAAGTGAAATAATGATGGTAATATTGAATAATTAATTTTATTTCCATGATCTATTTACACTGTACAAACATTTTGGAAAAGCACCTCATCAGTTCACAGTACATATACAACATAACTACTTTTAAAATACATTCTGTTATAAAAGGTTCCAAAAAACAATGGCAGGTCAACAAATAATAAAATTCTCAGAGCAAGTCACTAGTTTTGTGAGGGCCCGAGTGTTTCCACCAAGAATGATAATTTCCACGATCACAAAGTTACAATATTTGCAACAATGATGAGTTTTTAATGAAACTTTAATCCCTCAGTGGAAAGTTTCTACTGTTGGACTAATTTGTGTGCTTTCCAAAAGGGAAGATGCTTTATGGAAATCTGGAAACTCCCAACACTGTCCGGATTTGGAACAGCACGTTTCTCACTCCAATGTTCACAGTATGCACTCCTTCCTACTTTTTCTTCTTTCCTTGCTCAGTTTCCACTTTACGTTTTTTTGAAGTAGGTTCATCTTTTTCATCATCTTTAAGAAGGAAGGAAAATTATTTTGATCAGTAACTACGACTATAGGTGGTTAACACCAAAAATTCCATGACTATTATTCCTTTTCATATTCATGACTACAGTGGTTAAATATCTCCCAATGCTAATTTGCAAAAAATGAAAACACGTTCCTTTACTTCGACAAAGTAAAATATGAAAACAAGAAACCTTTCATTTGGAGTATTTTAAGCACACAAAGTAAATTACTTATAGCAGTGTAATTTTAAGGTCAGGAAATTAGAAAGGTTTTTCTTCCCCTGAGCTTCCAGTTAGCTCACATAATATTATACAGTACACGCTTTTGCAGGACCGGGGAGTGATCAGGATCTCCATTTCCAATAAGGAGACAGCCTTTCATTAACCATCAGTAATCTAGAGCTGGAAGGAGCCTTTCCAGCACAGCCCCCTTCATTTTCTGCAGATGAGGAGACAGGCACGGAGAAAGGAAGTGACTTGCCTGACTGCTGGTAACAGAACCAGGAGCTGAACCCACCCTCCCAACTCCCAATTCCAGTGCTTCTTTCTGAAGGACATGCCTGTCACAGGGACATTGCTCTCCAGCTGGGAGGGCCCTCAGAGGCTGCCTAGTCCAGATGAGGAATCAAAGGCACAGAAATGTGCAACGACTTGCCTCGGGTCACACAGGTGGGAGTAGGATTTGAACATTGGTCCAGTGAGTCAGCCTTCTTTTCTCTGTACTGTGCGGCCCTTGTTAAATGGTTAAATGGCTTTCTATGAACAATCTTCCTTGTTTCAACCTGTTTTCTTTGCTACTCATGAGAAAAATATAAAATCAAGGAAACAAAGCACTTTACACTTTGGGTCTAGAGTAAGTTACTCACAATTAAGGGTTACATACAATCAATCAACAGCATACTATAATACAGGTACTGTGCTAAGCAGTGCCGGACCCGAAGTCAGGAAGACTCATTTTCTTGAGTTCAAACTTGGCCTCAGACACTTGCTAGCTGTGTGACCCTGGGCAAGTCACTGCACCCTGTTTGCCTCAATTTCCTTATCTGTCAAATGAGCCGGAGAAAGAAATGGTAAACCACTCCAGTATCTTTGCCAAGAAAACCCCAAATGGAGTTGGAAACCACTGAAACAACTCAACAACAACTCTGCTAAGTGCCAACACCAATTCCAAACACTCTGCATTGCTTACCCATAACAACTTCCCTTCTACAGAGGGTATGCAAGATAAGACAGTGCCAGAATGTGTTCCCAACACACAACTATTAGTCTAAAAAGTCACTCTTCTTGCATCCAAGTTCCTATGATTCAGCTTCTAAGCCAAGTATAGTAGGCTTCCGTCAGTTAGTTGGTGTTTTTCCTATTCCATCTCATTTCTGTGCCTTTGTACTGGCTATACCCCATGTCTCATATGAGCCTCTCACCTCTGCCTCGGTTTCCCAGCTTCTTACAAGACTCATTTCAAATGCTACCTTCTCCAGAAGGCCTTTCCTAGTGTCTCCTGCCCCAGTCACTCCAATCCCTAGTCCATGAGAACCTTCCCTTCTGTTTTTTTTTGTTTTTTTTTTTTAGTGAGGCAATTGGGGTTAAGTGACTTGCCCAAGGTCACAAAGCTACTACGTGTCAAGTGTTTGGTCTGAAGCCAGATTTGAACTCAGGTCCTCCTGAGGGCCGGTGCTCTATCCACTGCGCCACCTAGCTGCCCCAAAACCTTCCCTTCTGAGATTAGCTTCCATCTACTCTCTCTCTCATACGTACCAATTATTTACATAATGTTTTCCTCATTAGGATGTGAGCTTCTGGAGCAGCTATTTTTGTCTTTCTTTGTAATCCTAGTGCTTAACACAGTACCTGGCACGTAAGTGTTTAATAAATCAGGTTGAGTAACTGACAGAAACTGTCTCCAAGGTCACCAGTGACATCTTAATTACTGAACCCTCATAGCCTTTTCTCAAATCCCATTTTCCTTCAGCTTTCTGAAGCCCCTGAGTTTATTCTTCCTAAGCACACCCCTATTTGTGACTTGGCTTCTGTGACAGTGCTCTCTCTGGTTCTACTACCTATCCAGTCACTCCTCAGTCTCCCCTTCCTCTTATCCCCTAAGTGGGTGCAAGCCCACACTGTCCTAAGACCTCTTCTCTCTAAAAATGCTCTCCTTTTGATCCCAAATGTTCACATGACTTCAAGGATTACCTCTGCACAGATCCAGCACCAACCAATCATTAGCCTTAGCTCCAGTTTCACATTTCCAGGCACTGCTGGAAATGTCCCCTTGGATGTTCCAAGAACACTTAAACATGTCAAAAATGGAACTCAACATCTTCCCCTGTAAATCTGCCCCTCCTCCCAGCTTCCCTATTTCTGTTGACTGGAATCACCATCTTTCAAGTTACAAGACCTCAGTCATGTGCACACTCAGACACCAAGCTTCCATCCTTCCACCACACTGTTTGATCTTCTCTGTAGTCATTCTACCTCATGGTCACCATCCGAGGTTCAAGGTCTCATCATCTCTTCCCAGTGCCATAGGGAAAATCTAAAGTGATCACCCCGCTTCCATTTTCTCCCACTCCAATCATCCTACATACAGATTATCTTCCTAATGCACAAATCTCTTCATGTGCCACTTGTGTTCAAATATGTGATTCCATATTGCCTCTGAGATAAAACAAAACACAACAAAGAACCCACAAAACTCTTCAGCCTGGCATTTAGCAGCCTCTACCATCCGGCTCCAACCTACCTTTCCAACCTCATTTCACATTACTCCCCTCCAGCCAAACTGGATTACCTGATGTTCCTCACATTGGACATGGAGTCTCACATCTTTGGGCATCCTAACAAGCCATCACACATGCCTAGAATGCATATCCTCATCTCTATGTGTTAAAATCCTTCTCTTCCTTCAGGGTTCTTCCTGGTACCATCTCCTTTGTAATGGCTCCCTGGCTGGGGAGGGGAGGAGAGATACATATGGAAATGAATGGCATCAGTTTTAAAAAAGGAAATGGGAAAATCTGGAGAAAATGTTGGTTTAAGTAAAAAGACAATGAGTTCCATTTTAGAAACACTGAGTTTAACATGTCAGTAGGATATCCAGGCAGAGATGCCCAGTGGAAAGCAGGTGATGAAGCACTAAAGTTCAGGAAAGGGAGAGAGTTTAGGGCAGAATATATAGATTTTGTAGTCAATTCTGCAACTGAGTGTGTGTGAAAGAACTACAAGACAAAATGCTATGTGAGGACCAAGAGGAGAAGTTATTATTGATTGGAGGCTTTCATTGACTTGAAAAGCTTCAAGGAAAAGAGTTGGGTTTTAAAGTAATGAGGGGGAGGGAATTAATCCCAGGGAACAGGATGAGTAAAAGCATAGAGGCAAGAGCACAAAGCATGAGAGGGAAGCAGAGAACAGTTCAATTTAGATGGAAAATTGAAGAGATAAAGAGGAGTAATAGTATATAAGGCTAGAAACAGACAGCTTAGTACTCTATGGTACAGGGTCTTGAAAGCAAGGTACAGGAGTTTGAACTGACTGGCAATAGAGAGCCACAGAAGATTTTTTGAGTGGAGAAATAACATGACTAGACCTTTCAGAAAGGTTATTCTCTAAGCAGTTTGAGATAGACTCGAGCAAGGACAGAGTGAAGTTAGAAGTCCTATTAAGAGACTAGTACAGTAGTAGGTGGATGGTAATGAGGAGTTGACTAAGGTTATAACAATGGAAAAAGAAGGGAATGAATTTAAAAGGTAACATGGTATAGTGAAAATAACAAAGAACTCAAGGAGAATTTTGGTTCAAAGCCTATTCCAGGTTCTTACTAGCTATGTGACCATGAAAAAGTTGCTTGCTTTCTTTCGGTCTCAGTTTTCTCATCCATAAAATGGAAGGATTAGATTAGCCAGATTCTTAATTCCACATCTCAATCCAATGATGCTAAAATGCTGGAGATGGAACAGACAAGGCTGAGGAACTAACTGGATATGAGAAGTTCATAAGATCATTGATTTAGAACTGGAAAGGATCATAGGATCATAGGACTAACTATAGGAAGGTCCTCAGAGATGATAAAGTTTATTTTATTAAAGCTGAGGAAACTTAGGCCCAAAGAGGTCACATAGGTAGTTAAGTGGCAGAGCCCAGATCTAACAGGCCCAGTGTCCAAGGTGAAAGGGTTAAAGACAACCCACAATACCAAAGTTACAAATCAGGAGAAAGTTAATGGTAATGCCAATATTGATGACAATAAATAATGGTTTGGGGACAAGAGGAATTAAGATGTATTAGCTAAATATAACTGCAGAGAGACACCAAACTGTTAGCAGAGATAATCTGATAAAAAGATTTTTTTTTCTAGTCAATCATTTCCCATCTTATCTTAGTTACATTAATTTTGTCGTTGCAAAAACTTCTCAATTTCATGTAATGGAAATTACCAGCCCCTCATTTTTATATTTTCTTCCTAACAGTTCTGTAAGGTAGGTAGTATAAGTATTATCATCCGCATTTTAAAGATGGGAAAAATCATAGTAAAATGATTTGTACAAAGGCATTCAGCTAGATAATGGGAGAATTTATTTCTAAATCAGGCTTGTCTACTTTGACTTCTATTAATGGTAAAATAAATTTGGAAAATGCTTTGTAACTGCAAAGTAATGAGCTGCAGATTTTTTTTATTACACTTGAAAATGCACTATTTTTGTTGATACATAGTATGTTCAAAGGATATCTTGAGACTACATAGATCAATCTGCAAATCTATTTCAATTCAGATGACTACTATTCCTTAAGGAACAACTCAAAAAAAGCTTGCTCTATTGATGTTGTATCAATCATATCCTCTTCCTACTGGAGGGTCAAGTCCTTTTCAAATCAGAAATTCAATCATAAGGTCGACTGAGTTACTGCTACCTAGTGACAGTCAATAAACATTTGCTTAAAGAATGTAGCTCCTGAAGAAAGAAAAGTGAAAATCAAAAATGGATTCTGTTCATTATTATGGTATACCGA